AAGAGCGGTGCTGTTAAAGCTGCAGACGTTGGATATGGAACAATCACTGTACGCTCTTGCTTGCGAGAGGATTGTTTCCCTCTCTTTCGGTTTTTAGTGCATTTCTTCCATTCCTGTCCTACCTACACTGATAGCAATAGCTTTGCTCCTTTTTGGAAATGAGCCAGGTTTCTACAGCTGGATTCCTAGGATCACGATGGCTGTCTCTGAACGTACTCCAGATTGAATTTGTTAACCTTCGGGGCAGGCTGCCAGGTCCGTCTGTCCTCCCTTGCCAATAAAGAGAGAAGTAATACTGGGTGAGAGGAGTATGGCTCTGCACCAGGTTCTATGTAACGACTTCTCTTTATGTTGCTGTTATCGCTGAGTGATTTGGGGTAAGTTACTAGTGTACTTGCAGAATTGTGAGAGGCAACCAGAGCCTCTGGGATTGAAAGCTCTTGTATTGCAGAGAAGTAAAGAATCTGGATAGAGAATCTTCTGTCTCTTGCAGAACTCCTACGTGGTGCTGGCCGGCTTGTCGGATGGACTTGTAGCAGTGTTTTCAGTGTCGCAGGGCATCCCAGGGGACAGCTGCTCCTACCTGTGCTCCCACACGGCTAACAGGTCCAAATTCAACATTTCTGATGACGACCCCCGGCAGAACCCGTACCCGGTGAAGGCCATGGAGATCACCAGCAGCGGAGCAGAGGTCTGGTACAGCAACGGCCCTGGCATCCTCATCATAGACTGTGCCACAATGGAGATCAGCAGGAGGCTGGAGCCCTTCAGCCCGCCCTCGGTGATCACATCCATCGCCTGCAACTCCGAGTGTCACGGGGAGGAGGTGGTGTGGTGTCTGGACGATAAAAGCAACTTCCTGGTGATGTATCACGTCACCACCTACCAGCTCTGCGCGCGCTACTTCTGCGGGGACTGCAGCCCCCTCAGAGACATGTTTACAATCCAGCAGCCTTCGGCAGCCATCCCAGCTACAGCACCTATAAACCACAAGGCAATGGAGACTAACCCGCTAGTGGACATGAGCATTATCTGCAGCCCGGAGGTTGGCACCCAGATACTAAACCACCAGGACTCGCTCACAGATTATTGCTCTGTGTCTTCCTACTCCTCCTCGCCTCCTAACAGAATAACCCGGTGTCCCTCCAGCCTACCCAGCTCGCCCATGAGCTCTTCCAGTGTGCTTCTCTCCACAGATTTTGAGGAGTCTGACAAATTTCATGAGCTGAAGCCTTCTCTGGATCACGATGCTATGCCTGCAGGTGACAACATGCAGCATCTCCAAGCCGTCAAGATTCTTCCCGTAAAAGACCTCATATGGATCCCCAGGTAAGTGGGTCACTTATCAAAATCCCTCCTGGGCTGAAGGTGAGATCAGCTTGGGCTAATTCAGGAGCTTTTGCATTCCCAGTATGATTCACCTGGCCAGAAAGTCAAGTTACCATTAAGAAATTTTGTTCCCAGTACAATTCTACCCCTTTTTAAAGCTATCTAGTGTTGAACAGGATGGCCCCATCCAAGCTCTTGCCAGATCGATTGAAAGCACTCTTGCCCCAGCTACTGAGGAAACAAAGAACAGCAGTCTGAGCTTCCTTGCTCAGACGCAACCCTGGCACGTCCTGTTGCCTCCTGTTGAGCTGATGGAAACCACTGGAAATCTCATTTTGCCTGTCACGAGGGCTGTCACTGTAGTGGATTCAGGATGGCCCTTGGTGGCATTGCAGTGCCCGCTTCCCTGCAGAAGGTTGTGTAACTGCAGGAGGAATTGTAGCAGAGAGGATGGATGTCCAATGTGGATCTTCCTAAGCTGTCAGCAGCCCCCACTGCTGAGTACATGTGACATATCCCTTGTTTCTCTTCTAGGAGAGGAGGGGATATCATCGTCATCGGACTGGAGAAGGAATCCGGCACCCAGCGGGGCAGAGTGATCGCTGTGCTGAAGGCCGGGGAACTGGCTCCCTACGGGTGAGGCTGACTGGGCAGCGCCCGTCACACCAGTTTCCAGGGGTACCAGGGTACTGGGTGGCAGAGGGTGGCTCTGAGGCTCCGGGGGCTCTTGGGAGCTTCCTCTCAGCATCCAGCAGCATCTGAGAAGCTCCCAGCCGGAGCAGACGCAGTTGCTGGTTGCACATGGAGGCATGCACATAGCATGGCAGGCGGTGAGGGGAAGGCACTGCGACCACAGTCTGGTCTCCAAAAGCCCCAGAGACCAAGCACCCCTGTAACGAGACAGGCAGGACCGTCTGGCACAATGCGATAAACGTCGGTCTGATCCTGCCTGGTGCTGACTCCCAGTGCTCTGAGGGCACCTGGCAGGAGGTTGCTGGAGCGTGGCAGACTCAGGCCCCGTGTGAAGAACAAGAGGTGTATTTATGCGGGGCGCAGTGCTTGTCTGTGGCTGCATTCACGTGGATCAGGTTGACGTTCTGGCTCTAAATGAGCACCTTTGTGCTGTCAGCAGTGGCAGGACGGGGGAAGGCTCCTGGAGCACAGGGGAGAGCAGTTACATACATTAATTTAAAATGCTTCATACAGTGAATGGGAGTCCAAGTAAATAAATAGCTGCTAGAGAGATGGGAGTGTTCCT